TGGTAAGCATTGCTGCAGTAAGCATAGGGATGAGTACTGCTTTTCAAAGCAGTGTCTTCATTTCCTTTGGGTAAATACCCAGTAGTGGGATTCCTGGATTATATGGCATTTCCATTTTTAATTTGGTGAGGAGCCTCCATACTGTTTTCCACATCATACTCATTTCCATTCCCAACAACAGTGTGCACCAAGGTTCCCTTTTCTCTACATCCTGGCCAATGCTTGTGATTTCTTTTTGATAACTAGCCTTTCTGACTTGCGTGAGGTGATCTCTCTCCTTGTGGTTTTAATTTGGATTTCCCTGATGATGAGTGATGTTGATCATCTTTCCATGTGTCTGTTGACCATCTGTCTGCCTTCTTTGGAAATATGTTTAATCAGGTCTTTTGCCCATTTAAAACTCAGATTCTTAGGGGTTTTTTGGTATTTGGCTGAGTTTTTAACTTACATATTTTGGATACTAACTTGTTATCAGGTATCTCATTTGCAAATGTCTTCTCCCATTCTGTCGGTTGCCATTTCATTTTGTTGATTATTTCCTTCACAGTGCAGAAGCTTTTTATTTTGGTGTAGTCCCAACAGCTTATTTTTGCTTTTTGCTTTGCTTCCCTGAGGAGACACTGGTAGAAAAATGTTGCCAAAGTTGAGGTCAGAGAGCTCCCCACTTGTGTTTTCTTTAAGGAGTTTTATGGTTTCAGGTCTCACTTTTGATCTTTAATCCATTTTGAGTGTATTTTTGTGTATGGGGAGAAAGCGGTCCAGTTTCACTCTTTCATGTGTTCCTGTCCTGTTTTCCCAGCACCGTGGATTGAAGAGGCCCTTTCCCCACTGGATATTCTTGCCTCCTCTTATTTCTTCTCTTCTGGGCCGTGGCTAGGACTTCAACACTGTGTTGAAGAAAAGTGGCAAGAAAGGGCATCCCTGTCTTAATCTTGATTGTGGAGGGAAAAGCTTTCACTTTTTGACCATTGAGTGTGATGTTAGCTCTGGGTCTGTCGTTTATGAGCTTTCTTATGTCACGGTCCACCCTCCAGTTTTTAAGTAGTTCTTTCCTCCATCTATCCTGGCTTTGCTGCATTCTCAGTCTCTCCATTAATAGATCTCGTAGCTCGTTTATTTCAAAGCAGAGGCGTGCCCTGACTGCGCAGCCCACACGGGTGAGCCTCCCGTCCTCCCTGTGCTCCTCCGCCTCTTGGCCACGTGACTTGCACTGGTTTCCAGGGTTCTTCTCCGCCTCCTCCCTCCCTTTCACGTTTCCTGCTGCCTCCACCTCCCCATCAAAACTGGTCAAAGTCACCAGATAACATCCCTGGGCCCAGAGCGAGTGACTGCTTCTCGTTTCACCTTAGCCCCCCGATGGTGCCGGCCACAGTCTCCATCCCCCAGGGCCCTGGGCCTGCTCCTCGGCCTCCACGCCATGCTGGCAACTCCAGTCTCCTGCTCCCCGCCCTGTCCTCAGAGCCTGGGCCAGCTCATGGTCTGCATCCAGTCGTGCGTGTGGCACGGGTGAGGTCAGTAAGGTTGTGTCAGACCAAGGAGTGAAAATCCATTCTTTGAAGGGAAGTACAGTCAGTTGACATTGTGGTGGTCATGTTCTAGAAATTTGCTGTGAACACTGGGGTAGCAAATACTGAACAATTGCTCCTGGGATTGGGCTCCCTGTGACGCTCTGGTCACCGTGTTTTCATCTGCTGATGACTACGTGATTTTGTTTTACAGGATGTTCTGTTTAAAGACATCTTTATTTTTTATTTTTTATTTTTTTTAACGTTTATTTATTTTTGAGACAGAGAGAGACAGAGCACAAGCTGGGGAGGGTCAGAGAGAGAGGGAGACACAGAATCCGAAACAGGCTCCAGGCTCTGAGCTGTCAGCACAGAGCCCGATGCAGGACTCGAACCCACGAACCATGAGATTGTGACCTGAGCCAGAGTCGGACGCTGAACCAACTGAGCCCCCAGGCACCCTGAAGGCGTCTTACTTTATTTTTTCTTTATTTAAAAAAAAAATTTTTTTTACTGTTTTATTTATTTCTAGGAGAGAGAGAGACAGTGTGAGCAGGGAAGGGTCAGAGAGAGAGGGAGTCACAGACTGAAACAGGCACCAGGCTCTGAGCTGGCAGTCAGCACAGAGCCCGACGCAGGGCCCGAACCCACGAACCGCGAGATCATGACCTAAGCGAAAGTCGGACGCTTAACCGACTAAGCCACCCAGGCGCCCCTGAAGGCGTCTTACTTTAATACATACAGCTGACGTGTGAACAGTGAGCTTACTAGAAAACACTCTCTTGGTAAACAAAGCTGACCTGCAATGCGTGACCCTCCAGGAGGCCTGTCACAGCCCCCTTGCCCTGGGGAGCACCAGCCAGCGCTGTGGTTGGGGACCATTTTACACAGTGACCTCACCAACCAAAAGCACAAAATGCGAGAACACAAACCATGGGAAGGACAGTGGTTCACAGTACGAGCTGAAAACAAGAAAGCAGAGTCCCGCCTCGTTCAGCCTTGGCTGGGAATGTTGTGTCAGGCAACTCCACGTTTTCTGGCGCCTTCCATGCACGTCCAGGCTGATTGTGAAAGGACCACAAGTGTTCACTTTGCCAGGGGGGAGGGGTGGCTATAGAGAAACTTGAGCAAGCAGGCAAATTTACAAACACAGAATCTGGATAATGAGGATTAACTGTGTTTGGAAATAAGTTTTGTGGGGTTTTTTGTTTTATTTTAAAGAGAAAGCACAAGCAAGGGGAGGAAGAGAGGGAGAGGGAGAGAGAATCCCAAGCAGGCTCCATCCACACTGTCAGCACAGAGCCTGACACGGGGCTCGAGCTCACAAACCGTGAGATCATGACCTGAGCCAAAATCAAGAGTTGGACGCTTAACTGACTGAGCCCCCAGGCATCCCAGCATGTACTCACTTTATTGCATACGCCAGTTTCTCTGCCCTGTTTCTCAGTCCCGCAGTTAAAAGACCTGAGGCTCCAGCTTTTGCTCCATCCTGGAGGAAACGGGCACCAGGCCTTGTAATAGCAAACAGTAGAGTCAAGGCTACGTCTGACTTTCAGGAGGGGCCTGCCTCTTGGTCACCAGCATCTACCCTCAGTATGTACCAAGGGGGAGCACTTGCCCCGTGCTTACATTAGAGTGAGTGCACTTGGACTTGGCCAAGAGCAGTTTGGCCCTTTAAATGTAGCTCTTGGGGGTGGGACTGCTTCACCACCGAAGCGCATGTCATGGGTAAGTTTAGCCCATTTTTTAGATCCGACCTAGTTCAAGAGATTATTATGTTTCGTTGAGTGGTATTTTGAAAGGTTTGGAAAACAACCCAATACCTAATCATAGGTCTATTTTCAGTCATCCAACAGACTTGTAGCCAGCTGCGCCAGGGGTGCCAGTCTTGGGAAACACCATCCACTGGCCAGTGGTAATGGTATACCCACCAAAGTGAGAGGCAGGGAGCGTGATTAGAGGCACCCCAAACGATCGCTGAATCGCGAAGACAGAGCAGGGTGATGGCTAGGGGGGCCTAGAGAGGGAGACATGGACAGTCCGTTGGTACAGACCGACCGCACAGCCTCTGAATTCTGCCCTCCCTAGAGAGCCAGGTCCTAGAAGGGATGGGTGGCTGCAGACAGACACCTGCTCTGTGTGCAGGAAGGTTAGCCCACTGCTGCAGGGAAGAGGTGGTGTTTTGTGTGCAACGGACTGTGAATTGGGCACTTGATTCCTCTGCGTCTTCTGTTCCAAGTAATAAACTAGAGTTTCCCCCACTGGCACGTCCTGTGTCACTTTGCACATGCAAGGCTCTGGCCTCCACCCTGTATGTCAGTACCCGGTCGTGCTGAGCACATTAGACCGTCAAATCTGCATGGAAATGATTGATACCAAATGTTATCCTGGAAATAGTTCGTCTTCATAAAGGAGCCCTTACAGCTTATTTTTTCATTTTCGTTAGTAGTTGGGTTTCTAAACTTAAGAGTGTCTCTGTTACACTGTTTAAATCCAGCAACAGAGCTAATAGAGAGTCGTCCTTCTGGGTCACTTTGTATTTTGTGTTTTGTGTGAACTTTCACCTAAGGGCATCTTAGTTACAGTGCAGACGGTGCTGAGGCTTCAGACAGTCAGAACTTGCGGGTCTCCTGGACCTCACCCAGCAGGTTGTCTCTGTCCAGAGACATGGAGCATGGCCACATCGGATTGATGGACGGTCCAAGTGTGGAGCGCTCGCCGCGGCCACGTGCGGAGATCACAGGCGTGTTGCCTCTGTGGTTTCTCGGCACCGGGACCCTCTTGCTCCTGGATCTAATTGGGGATTTTCTCAGAAGGACAAGGGCAGAACTAGAGACTAGGGTACATGTGGAAAGTTAGCAGGGATGGGGGTCTGTCACATCTACTTTCTGTGCGGGATGTTGTGTATGCTCACTGTTAACTCACCATCTGGTGGAGGGGGTGTCCCCACTTAAAGCGGGAGCCGACAATACAGTGGGTGTGGAGCGCCAGCTGTGGCTCGGTCTCCGCGGCTCCTCCTCACAGTACTTCAGAGGAGCTGTGGGCCCCAGCAACATATGGGGGAGACAAGACTTAGATCAAGTCCCATAGAGGTTATTCGGGGCCCGTCCTGTGTCAGGCGCTGGTGGGGAAGGTCCAGGACTGCAGCTGCAAGCAGGGAAGCGAGGCCTCTGTCCTCACGGCGCTCCCGTTGTGGGATGTGTACAGGGAGCCGCCCATGGGCCGCTGCAGGGAGGGCGTAAGAGAAGAGTGAGGGGGACCTCCCTGGGGTTGGGGGGGGGGGGACAGGGAGACCCAGAGTCTGTCTCCAAGCTCGGCATCCCACTCTGTTGTGTTGTGGGACCATCCCCACAGCCCTGTCCCATCACCAGTGGTGGCCGTCGTGAGCCTGTGGTGCCCCGCTGGTCGTGCGTGTGGACTTAGACATGCGTCTGTGTGTGAGCAGATTGCATCCATTGACACGAATACATACGTATGTGTTTTTGGTACTTTCAGCTGATACCGAAGACGTGTGCATTGTAGAGAGATTGTTCTCAAGCAGCTTGGTGGCCATCGTTAGCCTCAAAGCGCCGAGGAAGCTGAAAGTTTGCCACTTTAAGAAAGGCACCGAGATCTGCAACTACAGCTACTCTAACACCATACTGGCTGTGAAGCTCAACAGGCAGGTGAGCGACACAGGGCCCAGGCGGCCAGGCGTGCTGTCCCCGCATCACCGCCTCCCCTGTGGCCTGGGAAAGCTGATGGCCCTGGGCCCTTCCTCTTGCGGCCTCCCTGCTGCGACTCTCTCTGCACGGTTCTGCCCCGTGCACCCCGTCCCTACACACGCCCTTGCTCTCCACCGGCGTTGGTGTCACTCTTCCGTCAGACATGACCCGGCGCTCCTCTGAGTGTCCATGCGTTCGTCCGGGGGATGGCGTCAGGGTTTACACCCCTTCCTTCACTTTCATAGATGCTATTTAAACAATCTGTTAGCTCTTTTCCCTTTCCTCTTCTTTTTTCTCTTTTAAACTGTTGTTGTCTTCCCCACACTCCCAAGAACGCCTGGCCCAGAGTGTGAGCTCGGTGACTGGCGCTGGAATCTGTGTCATGAGACCAGGATGTGGCCTTTGCTCCCCCACAAAGCCAGCACCGTCCGTAAGAGGCTTCAGCTTTCTGTGACAAACACGTGTTCCTCGTGGGGAGCGCCACTCGCGTTGCGGGTGCGGAGCGCGCATGCCGGGGTCTGTGGCATCTCCACTGGCCGCCTGGGGGAGCGGCCACACCCAGGCCCCCACTAGTGTGGTTCAGGCTGGGATTGGTCTGTGGGCTGCGGGCACTGGTAGGATGGGAACGTATAAGGCCTAACCTGCTGAACGTTTCTGAACCTTAAACATACACGTGTACATTGCGTGCCACCTACTGTGCGTGCCAGGTGAATCATCCACCTGGTGCATCGGCTGCAAGCACACTCATCCTCCTCAAGGTGTGGTGCGAACTAGACACCTGCAAAGTAATGTGAGTGCAGAGTGAGTTTTTATACTTTTAAAAAACCCCAGGCTTTTGGGGCACTGGGATGGCTCAGTCGGTTAAGCCTCCAGCTCTTGATTCTGTTCAGGTCATGATCTCATGGTTCGTGAGTTTGAGCCCCATGTTGGGCTCTTTGCTGGCAGTTTGGAGCCTGCTTGGGATTCTCTCTTCCTCTCTCTCTCTCTCTCTCTCTCTCTCTGCCCCTCCCACACAAGTTCACACACCTCTTTCTCTCTGAAATAAACATTTAAAAAACCCAGAACCCTAGGCTTTTATTTTCATAAAAATATGAAATTTTCCATGCTTTATTCAACATGGGGTTTTGTTTGTTTGTTTGTTTGTTCAGTGTTTATCTTAGAGGGAGAACATGTGTGCACACCTGAGCCGGGGAGGGAGGCAGCAGGTCAAGTGTTGGACACTCAACTGAGCTACCCAGGCACTCCCAGCTGCTTTTGAAAGCAGCTGACCTTGGAGCACCTGGGTGATTCAGTTGGTTGAGTGTCCGACTTCAGCTCAGGTAATGATCTCACGGTTCATGGGCTTGAGCCCAATGTCGGGCTCTGTGCTGACAGCTCAGAGCTTGGAGCCTGCTTCAGATTCTGTGTCGCTTTCTCTGCCCCTCCCTTGCGCATGCTCTGTCTCTCAAAAATACATAAACATTAGAAAATAAAAAGAATGGAAAGTAAGCAACTGACCTTGACCAGACCTGTCCAAGGCACTTACTCTGCTTTTCACGAGGGGAGGGGTGAGCCAAACGAAAATAAACCAAGAACACAAGCTTTTCTTAGCTGTAGTTTACCAGCCTCTGTCATAGTTAAATTGCACGGTTAGAGGCCCTTGTACAGTCGGCATAAATGGTCACGGGAGTAGGCACGCTGGCTTTGGACATCACATACGTGGCCAGTGAGGAGTGCGGGGCTGGAGGAGAGCCTCCCGGTTACAGCCAGTGTCCTCTGCGTGAGCGTCCAGTCCGCCTGGCGTTCTGGAAGGAATAGGGAACCTCTGCTTCCAGGAGTGAGTTAATTAAAGATTGGGAGCGAGTATCATACTGTCTCTTGATGTTTGCCTTTCTCTTTGTCTCTCTCCAGAGGCTGATCGTGTGTCTGGAGGAGTCTCTCTATATCCACAATATCCGGGACATGAAGGTGCTGCACACGATCAGGGAGACGCCTCCCAACCCTGCAGGTGAACGGGTCGTGGACAGGAAGGCTCACTTTCTGATTCTACCTTTTACTTATTTTAATTTTGTTTTAGAGAGAGAGCGCACGTATGTGCAGGGAAGGGGCAGGAAAAGAGGGAGAGATTTCTGGGCCGGCTCCACACTCTATGAAGAGCCTGACGCGGGACTCGGTCCCACAGCCCTGGCTCGTGACCTGAGCTGGAATCAAGAAGTCGGACACCCAACCAACGGGGCCCCCCCGGATGCCCCTGTTTCTGCCTTGTAAAGATTTAGCATTTTCTCCATATAGGTTGCGCCAGGATAGACCACATGTGAGTTGATCTGAATAAAGCCAAGCTGCTTCCCCTGCTGCTGGGCTTGTGAACACATAAACTGTTGGTTTCGTCAGCTTCCAGTCCTGAGGCTACTGATCGGTTTCAAGCAGAGGCCTTTAGTCTGTGTTTACAATCCTGTCACCCAAGGAGGCAGTTGGGGTTGTGGCACTTGCCAAGTCGGCGTGGTAGCCACCAGGGCTCTCGGGGCCCCTTTACTGTCTGCATTCTGTTACGTAAATGCCAGCTCGGCCTAACGCTCCTGTGCCTCCGTGTGTCCCCACAGGCTTGTGTGCGCTGTCAATAAACAACGACAATTGTTACTTGGCGTACCCAGGCAGTGCGACCATCGGAGAGGTGCAGGTCTTCGACACCATCAACTTGGTGAGGCTTCTTTTGTGCTGGGTTCACCCTTTGGAATGTCTTGTTCCCTGAACCGAGTGCTGGGGAGCCTTCTTCAGCTGCTTCGTTTCCGTGGCTCGGCAGTTCGATTTCACTGCTGCCTTCCTGATGGTCAAGCAGGTCAGGGTGGCACCTGCCTCTGGACCGATTCCCAGGTTCGCTCCCACAGCGCTGGGCTCCTAGCAGGCCAATGGAGGGAGTAGAGGAACTATAAAACCTTCATGGTTAGACTGCTTTGCCCTCTTGGAGGCTTGGAGCATTTCCTTGGGCCCCGCCCCCAGTAAACCAGGCAGACGTGACATTGGTATCGACTGGCATGGGGTTTTAGGCACAGCCAGTTAGGGCTTGAGCCTGATGACAGTGACAGCTCTTGGAGTGTGGCCTTCCACGCAGCAGCCGTGTCACATTGGCTTTCCCTTTCAGAGAGCTGCCAACATGATCCCGGCTCATGACAGTCCTTTGGCAGCGCTGGCATTTGACGCCAGTGGAACCAAGCTGGCCACCGCCTCGGAGAAGGTACGTGTGCCGGGCGGCCTGAGAGGAAGTTGGTCTGTGGGCTTCGGCACACTTTCTTGGTTCTGCTCACACAGAAGTTACCAGATGAGTTTTCGGGCCAACTGGCTCCCAGACCAGCACAGAGCGCAGCCCCAGAGTCAGCCATGGGATGGGCCACTGTGGAGTGTGCAGTCCGATGGCAGAGCCGGCCCAGGACTGTGGCGGGAGCATGTGGGCGACACGCCCCCCTAACGGCACTAGTGCACGCTGTGCTGGAGAACTCGCATGGCAGGGAGCAGCGGACGTGGTTCTTTCTGCCCGTTTCCGTGCACACGATTTCCTTTCCTTGTGTGTCTGCTTGTTGAACAGGGACAGTGAGCGTATGGCACGTGTAACCCCCATCCTCTTTCACCGTGTGCTGTTGTATTTAAAACACTTTTAACGACATTGCTCAGCTGTGCTTTACCCAGATGTCCTTTGGGGACATTTTTATTGTTCCTACTGTTTAGATTGGAATAATAACAGTTGGAATGTAGATAATAGTGTGTTTTTCTTACACACAAATCACTTAAGAGAGTCCAGTGAGCAAACTTTCTGGGTTAAAAGGATGTGGTCGTTTTAAGGTTCTCCCCACATAGGACAGCGGGACTTCCCTTCAGCCTGAGCCTCTTCCTTTCTGGCCTCCCTGACACCAGAGGGCATCACTGTCTTCCCCACTCGGCTACGTCTTGTTCCTTTGTGACTCCCGTGGTCCCGATGACCCCGTTCTCTGTTCGCCTTGTTCCTCCGAACACCTGCGCATGCTGTGCGCCTCCTGCCACTGGGCAGCTTCCCCCCTGCGCCTCTCCCCTGACCTAGCCAGCCCCAGACGATTCGAGAAAAGTCAGCTCACTTCAAGTCTGCTGCTTGACTCTTAACCCGGTTTCTGTAATGACAGTGCTGCCGTCAGTGGCTCCCCGAGTCTCCAAAGATACAGGTCCCTTATATTCATGACCACCCCACCCCCCAGCAAGGTACACGCATTCTCATTTCATATTGAGGGCTCAGAGAGGATTATAATTTGCTCGGGGTCACCAAGCTGGGCAGAAGCAGAGGCTTGGACTCCAAGCCTGGCTTTGCTTTTAAATACCGCTAGACGATGGCACTGTCACCATGTTAGTCTCCAGGGCAGTGGCAGTGAGCTTCTGTCGCCCCTTGAGTTATAAAGTCTCCTCTCTGTAGCTCTCGTTAGCTCTGAGAAGCACCCTCACGCCCTTTGTGGCACCTCACTATCTTCTGATTTGCTTTTAACCAAAATCCTCTTGGTTCATGGGGGTAGCCCTGTCGCTGGGCCACGCCCAGCTGTGTGCTTAATCCTGCCTTCAGTGGGTGGAGCGAGGCTCCTTAACAGCTAATCGTTAATTAGTAGTACGCAGTAGGTATGCCATTAAAAAAAAATCTCTAAATCCGACAATTTTGACTACAAAGGACAAAACCTTTGCTGTGGTTAATTTTGTATACGAATGTGCTATTCTGTGCTTTTAAGTCTCAAGAATCGCAAACTCCTTCAGTATCTTTTTATCCAGAGAGAATCACTATATTTAAAGAAAATTTTCAAAAAGGGAACAATTCCTGGTGTTCTATAATTAGGTTGTTTATAGCTTATGTGTTTATTTTTACTATTTATAAACACATCAGATATCATAGAATCGTTTTCATACTGAACAGTTCGAACCTTCCAGAATGCGTTTGGTGTCAGGCGACAGGCCAGGTACTTCTTCCTGCTCCCGCACATCTGAAACACTACCTGTTTTCAGGTTTCCACTCCGTCCCAGGAGTCTCTTTCTTGTTGCGCTGTTGTATTGCCCTGGCTCACTAGGCTTCTTTCAGCAGTTAGATATTGAGAGCACAGCTTGTGTTCACATTCTTGGCCGTTCTGTCTTACTGTCCCAGATGTTCAAGACCTGTCTCTGCAGGCACACGTCCCACACTTCGGGGCCACGGCAGAGCGGCAGGGAAACTGGCACCTTGAAAACGGCTCACTCCTGCGGGTGTAGGGCCGCTCACTGCTTGTTCGTACGCTCCTCTGTCTGAGTCAGACGCGTTTTCTTAGTGTTGGTCCTACCATGTGTAAGTGGGGACTTACCCTTTTTAGGCCAGTAAGTAACATTTCCAGCCAGTGGTTCCCTTGATCAGTAACTAAGCCTAAAGCGGCAAGAGAGGGTGTCCAGGGGGTGGGGGGGACACCTCAAATTTCTCAGACCACCGAGCAAGGTGGTACTTCCTGATGTGTGGTAGGGTCGGCTTGTGAGAATTTAAACTTCACGTCACGTAGAAGAACCAGAACTATTGCACACTTGACTTTAAGGTTATAGGGGTTTAGAACAAGCAGCGAGTTACAGTGGCCGCACTGGAAGAGAAGCGTAAAGGTTGAGTATGCGGTAGAAGCGGGGAATGTTCCCCTGGGCAAAGTGGGGTGCTGCTGGTGTGCAGGGGGCGCGTGGGAGCTGCCAGCGAGCAGTGCCCCTCGTGTTTCCTTCAGAGTCTGCTGTGAAGGAGACAGAATGCTGGGTATACTTGGTTAAAATCCTTTCTTCTTTCCTCTTTTACCTGTCACAGGGGACCGTGATTAGGGTTTTTTCCATTCCAGAGGGACAAAAACTCTTTGAATTCCGGAGAGGAGTTAAGAGGTAAGATATGGAAGTCCCCAGAACTGGTTTTGGAGCTGACATTCGGATTTCTGAGGTGTGTTCTCTGGGTCGAGTGGAAACTTAAAGCTGCCCTGGGAGCCCCATTTCAACGCACAAGTGTTTTTTTCAACCCAGTCAGACGCTCAGGGGAGCTTGGAAGTCATCCTGACGGGTGAAGGAACAGGTTTATAAAGCCCACTGGCTTTCTTCCGTCTGTGATTCCCCCCTGAGTGGAGGGCAATGGCCAGGCAGCCCAAAAACGAGGAGGAGGTGGCCTGACCGGGCCCCCTGGGGCCATGTGGCCTCCTCGGCCTGCTCGAAGGTGGCAGGCCTGTGGCTTCCTGACCTGGTCCGCATGCTCCTAGTCTGCTCCTCTCCTCAGACAGCCCCTCGGCACTTGGTGCTCCTCTTCTAACCTCCCTGACCGTCTACACACCTAGGCGGGTCAGAACTTCGCACTTTCTGGATCCTCTTCCTCGGGACTGGCTCTGGGGCTCTGGTCCCTGTCCTGAAGGAGCCACTGACCACTGACCGTGCCCGCCTCAGGGCAGGACCTGGACTGGCAGTTCCCCAGAACCCGCAGCGGTTGGCCACGCCCTTCTCTGGGAACCTAGCAGTGCGCATCGCCGCTCCCTCTCGTTCACAGGTCCCTTCCCAGAGACGGCACCCACATGCTTTAGGGTCTTGTCTCTGAAGCCAGGTACCCCAGCCCCTCCCCATTACTGCTGCTTAGGTTTATTTCCTTTTTTCCCTTGGTTTTCCTTACACTTCACCTTTCTAGAATTTTCTGCTGTTGCTGCTTCTCCGTTTCCTCTCCCTGTGCCTCACTTCTGCCCTGGAACCTCTCTTCTGTTCCGTGCAGCCCCACAGGCTCCCACGGGCTCCTAAACCGTGTCGTCTATGTGCTGGTGGGCCCACCTGCGCCCATATTTCCCTGCCTGCTGGATGCTGGGCCCCCCCAGTGACCTGTCAGAAGGTGCCCCCATCTGCCCATCCTCACTCAGGTGCCTGACCTTGGTGAACACCGCCATGGTCACCAACCTCACCTAGGTCACAGGGGCTCCACACCGGCTCCTGTTTTGCATTCACTTAAATAGCAGGGGTGTCCGCACCAGGGTCAGTCCCGCTACCCACCCCCCTGCACCTCTGTTGGCCCCTTGGGTCCATTCTTCAGACTGTGGCCCAGGTTGCTCTTTGAGGGTGTCGGTGTCAATAAAGCATGCCCCCTTTGGGGGAGTTCAAGGCCCCCACTCTGCCGGCAGGGCCGACTGCAGACCCCCAGGCCTGTTGCGTAAGGCCTGCCACTCCCTGCGTTTCTAGCCCTGCCTCCCGTTGCTCCCTTCCCCGGCCACACTGAACGCTGGTTCTCACTTGTACCGTCTCCTGTGCCGGGTGCCGCATCTGTGACCTGGCCGACTGCTGGTCCTCACGCGGGAGTGACCCTTTGCGCTTCTCCAGCGCCGCCCGCTTTTACTCCTTGGCTCTGCTTTCTCGCGGCAATTTGCTATCTGTACATATGTCTCTCCATGAGGCTCCGTTAAAGCAAAAACCATTCCTGATTTGTCCCCGGAGCTTTGTGCCAGGCCAGCCACGCTGTGGGCACTCCTTAAACGTACACCGAATTGGCAGGGCAAATGTGCCTGCTACTTCTGAGGTTGTTACGAGGAAATGCAGATTCATTCAAGGCTCTCGGATTTTTCAGGCAATTTTTTAAGATAAACAATAGAGGCTTAGCACGTTGAAAGTTATTCTTAAATATTATCAAGGTTGCCAGTTTGCCTTTCTTGCACGTTAAGAATTGCTGTGATTTAAATTATTGGACTTTGTTCTGTAAATCCCGCCTAATGCAGCTAAAATCGGTTTAGTGAAGCCCTGAATCCCTTTGTTATTTGGAATTTCAAAGAAAAGTAGCTACCAGGATGTTAAAGTATTGCTCTTGTTATTACCTCCAAAACCTTATCTTTTTCTCAGAAAAACTTTTGAAAAAGTGTCTGGAGAGGAGTAAGATGTCAGTAGACTCAAGTATTGCCAGTTCTGGGGCCTTGTCCCCTCTGACTCTAAAGTCCCCGGAGAAAGGTTGCTAATCGCCCCCGGAGGGCTTATGGGCGACCGTGTCACTCAGGCCCCTTCCGCCCACCCGCAGGTGCGTGAGCATCTGCTCCCTGGCCTTCAGCATGGATGGCATGTTCCTGTCTGCATCCAGCAACACCGAGACTGTGCACATCTTCAAACTCGAAACTGTGAAGGAAAAGTGAGTTACAAAGACACATTTGTTTCAAAAAAGAAAAAAACACAAAGCACTTTCTCCACGGACCAGGTGACACCCCCACACAGGCACTGTCTTCCCTGTAGACGTTTTTGCCAATAGAGCCCCTGGAGCTGGGTCTAGAGTGAGTGTCACCGGCTCTGGGCTCCGCGGTGAAAGGACTTCCCTGAAGGATGAAGCAGGGGGGCTGAGGGGGGAGGTGTGAAGAGGGAGGTCCTGGAGTCCATGTGCAGGTCTCCTCTTACCACCACCTGTACCTGCAGAAGCACGTCAGAGTGCATGCTGGCTCCTGCCTGCCCACGGGTGGCTTCCACTCTTAAAGCCATTGGTTTAAATTCTCTGGGACTCTGACGGGTGTGCCTGGCGCAGGTTATCTGCTTCAGGCTCTCTTCAGTTGTAAAAAGATAGCTGCTAGGATGAGTGTTTACGTGCTGTCCTGCTCAGAGGAACGTTCACAATAAGTTACAAATACATTAAGATGAACCACAACAAAAATGGGCTCTGGGGAAATAATGGAGATGTGTGCTCATAAGGTTTCTGGAGACTTCCTGGTAGAAAGTTGTGGGGCGGAGGGCGGGTCATGAATGTGCCCCCATTTGGGGGCACCTGATCATCTGCCAGTCAGGTGTGGCCACCAGCGGGGTGGGGCGGGGGGGTGGGAGAGCACAGCTCTTCCAGGTTCTGAAACCTGACGGGCCACCTCTGACCCTTCCTGGGAGATGTGCCCGGAGTGTCCCCAGGCTCTTGAAACTCTGGCATTCTCTGCGCCCCTTTCTCCCCAGGTGTGGGGGACTCCTTCGGGTTTCAGGGCTGATGCTCGCTTCTGTGAGTGGGACCCAGTCCTTGTCCTAGCTAAGAGTCCACCTTCGTGTATCTGATGACGGTTCCTCCTTCCAGACCTCAGGAGGAGCCCACCACCTGGACCGGGTACTTCGGGAAAGTGCTCATGGCGTCCACCAGCTACTTGCCCTCCCAAGTAACAGAAATGTTCAACCAGGGCAGAGCCTTTGCCACAGTCCGCCTGCCTTTCTGTGGCCACAAGAACATCTGCTCACTGGCCACGTGAGTAGAGGCGGGGTCCCCTCTGTCTCTCTTGCCGGTGTACCTGCCATTGGGAGCCTGGTCTCTGGCCACTGGAGACAGTGGAGGCACAGCCGGTCAGGTTGCTCCTGGCCAGGATCAGCCCATGAACTTGGGCCTTCGCCGAGCTTGGCACAGAGTTAGGAGGCAGTGGAGGGAACCCCAAAGCGCCTCTTCACCACTGCCGGACTAAAGTGCTTCCTCTGCCTTGTTCTCATCCAAACCCTTTTTGTTTGTGTTGGGAACATCGGTAGTGTTACTGAAGAAACACCTGAAGTATAGACCATAGGAGATCGCCAGCAGTTACTCTCTAGGGCCTACAAGGCCCGCAGTGTGATGTAGTTGAAGGCCGTGTGTGGCACTCTGGAGCGCAGCCGCAGAATGCACGAGACTCCTCAGGAGTCGCGGGGTGTCCACAGTGTCACCACGCAGGGTGATGCTGTCTTGAAAATTCAGTGGTAGAGCATCTTCATGATTCCATGGGTCTCGTAAACATTACTTGACCCCGTTTTTGTCCAGCTAACATAGTTGAGAAAGTTGATGAAACTGTCTACCCTTAGGAATCAGAGAGGCAGGGGAGTGAGTGTGTTCCCAGCTCTCCTGGGGCCCTGGGAGTTACTTGCAGAAAGTAGCCCCGTGCCGCGGCCTCGGGCAGTGGGCAGCGCCGTCTCTCCCGGCCAGTAGACAACCTGTCCAGCGCCCGAAACTAGCCCAGCTCATTTGGGGGCACCGGGGGGGAGGGGTCTTCCCAAAGCCAAGGCTGCTGTTTTACCAAGAACGTCCTATGAAAGTGGAGGTCCTGGAATTGGGCTCCTTCTTGTTCTTCCTAGAATTCAGAAGATTCCCCGGCTACTGGTGGGAGCTTCCGACGGGTACTTGTACATGTACAACCTGGACCCCCAGGAGGGAGGCGAGTGTACCCTGATGAAACAGCACAAGTAAGTAGGGCTAGGCCAGCCGTCACCACTGGCATGGGCAATCTGCTGGCAGCACTCTCTCCGCCCACGTTCACCCGTGTACCCAAAAGGCAGTGACAGAAGGGTGCAGGCCAGCGTGCCAGCGGGGCTAGCCTGTGCCGCCGAGGAGACGCCCTTGCACAGACGGACCTGGGTGAGGGCACGGCCTCCCACTCTCCCGCTCCATCTGCCAGTGGCCCAGTGCAGTGACTGGGCAGAGATGGGACAGGCGGCCAGCGCCATGCTCGCTCATCCCTGGGCAGGGCCAACTGAGGCGTGAACTTTGAGCCTCTTGCAGGAGAGGGACGACAGTCGGGGGGCGTCCACGGTGCAATGTGTGTTCTTGGAGAGTCTGCCGCCTCCCCTTCAGACAAAGTGTTCTCTTTGAAAAGAAGGAATTCATACTTGGTTGTTGAGAAGGGTGCAGTTTGCTTTTTTTTTGCTTTTGCTTGTTTTGAATGAGCCAGGAATTCTGTTAACAAGGATGTTGTAATACTATACTGCTATAATTGGGGTCTTTTTTTATAGTGAATTCTGTATATGGGCCTCAGTCTTAAAAATGGGAGATTATTTCAGTGGGTATAGCTTTTTCCCAGACTCCCAGGTAGAAACCTTGGTGAGAAATCCGAGTGAACACCGGGAATCAGCTTCTGGGCAGCACAGCAGGAGGAGCGCACACACGTGTCTGTCTGGGGTAGCCTCTTGCCTTTTCTGGGGTGCATCCAGCCCACAGGCCCACCAGGCCGCGTCGTGGGGACGCCTGACAAGACCCCTGATGGCCTACTGCCTGTTTCCTCCCCCCAGGTTGGACGGCAGCATGGAGACAACCAATGAAATCTTAGACTCGGCCTCTCACGACTGCCCCCTAGTGACACAGACCTACGGCACAGCTGTTGCCACAGGTACTCACGTGCCTTCGTCTCCCACCAGACTTGGTAAGAGCGGTGCCACAGACCCGGAGGGAGGTAGGCTGGGCCTCCTCGCCGGTCAGAGCTGGCCTCCTGCCCTTTCCCCTGGGCGAGTCCGGCTGGTGCCCTGAGGCAGGCTGTGGGCAGCTGGGGGGTTCAAGGCTGAATTACTTCTCTTAATTTTTGAAGGATAGGTAGACGTGATTGGCCAGGCTGCTTTGGGTGCACATGAATCATCCTGGGCTTGCTGCTAGAATAGCGCCCTCAGTTTTGACATTGCCAAAGTGTCCTTGGTCCTGTGTGATCATTCACCCGGCGAGCATGGGATGCCCCCCTGGCGCTTGTGCCCTGGGAGACAGGATTGTGGGTCTGCATTCAGGGCCCCTGCTGCCGCAGGACAGACACGGAGTAGGCCACACAAGCTGCCCCCCCCCCCGCCCCCACAACCAGCTCGACCTCAGAGGGGCAAGCCTGTAACTTCGCCCCCCACCGGGAGACTGTAGGTGTGCACTGTCGCCCTCTGAGGCAAGGCTGCCCTTTCCGTCAGGTGAGGCACTGGGTGTCTGGTGTTGAGCATCCCGCATCACCAGTTCAAGAACCATGTCCTCCCTGTTCGCTGAGAAAAGTCCATGGCCTGTCGGGAAGCCCCTGCTCACTGTGCAGCCACCATTTTTGACATTTAGCAATTTGGGAAAATATGTGGCTCCACCTTGGGCCGCCCGAGGCCGCACAAGGCCCGTAGTCAGAGAGCGATGACGGTTGAGGCTCGGTGTGCGCTGCAGCCCGTCCCCGCTGACGCGGCCCATCGGCTGCCACCGTCCCACGTCGCAGTGCCTGAGTGTGGCCGCGCCATCTCTTTGCAGCCTACGCAGACGAGCTGGGGGCCGCAGGTGGCGCGTGTCTGGAGGAGGAGGCCGGCGCGCTACGGCTGGAGGAGGACAGCGAGCACCCGCCTCTGATTCTTCGGACTGACTGAACTTGACCCGTGAACTCTGACCCCTGAAGCAGAGAACACCGGCTGACGGAGGACTTTGTGTTATGCTGCTATGAACTGTGAACGGAGTTGGAGAGAGGACGGCAGAGACTTCAAAAGAAAAAAAAAAAAAAAGATCGTAGCTGTAGCGTCATTCCATACTGTTGAGAAATACATCGTTTTCACTTTGGGGGCTTTTAATCCTGCTTAGGAATCTTAGCTTTTTGTTTGTTTTCTCTATTTGCCAAAATTAACTGTCTGGTGAGGCCCTTGAAACCTCCTTGCTTTGCATGCATTACTGTGCCAAGCCAGCAGAGGAGAGGAGAATTAGGAGCCGCTTGGTCACATCCGCGCGTGTCCGGGTTTTGTGTACATAGTGAGGCGCGTCCTCAGAGACGGCAGCGGCGAGCAGAGCGGTCGCGGGGGTGCAGGTGGGGTCTGCTCGGGCAGGTCCAAGAGCCCTCCCTGGGCTTGCCAGGCTGGGGCGGCGGCCGCAGGGAGCAGTGCTCGCTCCCCAGAGCTCCTCATGGGCCCTTTTCCCCGTTTTATTTTGTTAATTAAATTCTTTCCAGATTGGATTGCTCTGGGATTTCTTCCTGTTGGACTTTTATTTTGTTTCTGCCCTTATTTTCCACGTGGGTATTGGAGGAGAGCAGTTCTCTTCTGGCATTAAAAACCTTGCATTCGGACAGCACATAACCTTGAAAGAGCACCCAGGAAGGCCAGCGCCGAGGAAAGTGGTCTGATTTGTGTAATTAAATTATCCGGTCTTTAATTTTCCTGTTGAATAACCATGTCAGGGTTTTATTTGTTTTTAGGGAGTTTAGTAGCTCGTCCCTGGACCCAGAAAACACTGAATTAGTGTGGTGGATCCCCACGTTGTCCTCTGACCTTGAGCCCCGCTGCCTGTCAGGGGCTCTCCTCACCTGCGTCAGAAATTGGAGAGAGAGTTGGAAATGGAGAGCTTGCCTTCTGGCGTGATCCGTGCCTTTTTCATTTAGTTGTACAGAATCATTGGACAGAGTGACGCAAGGCTATGGTCATGGGTCACGGCATTTGCCCAGCTTCCCTTTTTGTTTTCACAGATTGGAACAACCGCAGATACCTCAGACTCTGCATTCCAAACCCAAACACGAGCAGGTGAAGTTTTGAGGCTGTTCAAACAGACTTAGCAGCATAAAGGATCGTGGTAGATTCTTCAGAGCAGTGACATCCGGGATGGAGGGGAAAGAGAGAACCGTGTCTGCCCTCCAGTTTCCTGTGTCGGGCTTCTGAACCAAGGAGGGGCAGAGGTGTCTGCCCCGGGTTGTATGTGTTGGTTGGTAGTCGTGTGGCCAGGGGAAGCAGGGATGGGTGCCAGCTCTGAGTGCCTGACCTCGAGGTCGGTCCACGTGCCTGCAGCTGCACCCAAAGTAAGCTCTGGCTGGCAGAAATCGCTAGAAACGCCAGTTGTGACAACAAGTGAAGGTGCTGTATTAGTCGGAGGTGAAGGCAGAATATACTCTACTTCTTCTGGAGGCTACGCGCAGACACGGGGGGCGTGCATCAGGCCCGGAAGGCCCTCTCGCTGTCCCTCTGGAACAAGACATTGCGCTCCAGGCCTTCGGTGGCGCATTTGTCCAGGGCAAGTGTTCACGGGAAAGCCAGGGTCAGAGGTACACATGGCGGATGTGGGGCCCTCAGCTAGGGTCCCCTGACTACCAGAGAGAGAACCGCCTTTCCTGTCATGTGTTCGGTATTGCCGAGCCGGGTACCTGCTCGTCGGCTCCCACGCTCATGGCGACATGAGCAGTCAGGTCTGTTGTGCAGTTGCTCCAGGCCAGCAGCGCAGCCTCGTCTGTCTTGGGGATTGGTGGTCTGTCAGCCACCATCTCCTCGGTGGTGAGACGGGCACTGAGGAAAGGTGGCCTGGGTGGCCGTGACTGTACCGCCTGCCCTGCCCTAAGGGTCATCCGCAGGGCTGCCCAGGCACTTCTTGGTGCCCAGGCATCAGCAGGCCGGAGGCATGTGCGGGGGACGCTGGAGAGGAGAGAAGCGGAAGGAGACACGTGTTAGCAGGACTTGCTGCCGCGCCAGGAGCTTGGACGAACCAGGACCTTGGCCAAACCAGACTGGGCACGGACTCACTGAACTCCGAGCCCTACATCAGTAGTAGCTTTTTATTAAGTCCTAGCTTTCCAAACTTTGAAAGAATCATGGTGTAGGAAACAAAACCTGGGAACCTACTTTACAGCCCTGTGTGGACTGGGATCAAACGCTTCGTGTTTTCTAGAGCAGTGGAAGCCATAGTCGGGTTGAAACTAGAGCTGGAGACTCCCGCAGCAGCCCCCGATTTAGCGCCTTACTGTCGGTGTGGCCCGGATGAGCCCAGGGCCTCGGTCCCCTACACTGGATTGCAGGAACGTCCCTGCCTCACATGGCCACTACCTAAACGGGACACGCGTGCCACAAGCGCCCAGTTAACCTTGAAACAGAAACTGGTCTGACCGAAGAGAACCAATGGTTCTTCCTCGGTTCTTGTGTGTCAGTACTGAGCTGGTGGGAAAGGTGAAATGACACTGTGAATATGAGGCCCAGTCAAGGTCACGTGGCTCCCTGTCACCTGGCCTTTCCCACTCTGGATTCCAGAACCCCGAGCCACAGCCTGAGTGGATCTTGGGGGGCGGGGGTATTTGCTGGGAGAGACTGTCCACGGTCACCCCAGAGCCAACCCTGCTCCGCCGGCACTGCCTACAGTGGCCAGCCCTGCCCCCCACCCACCAAGGAGGGGCCTCCCAGGCTTTGCCTCCGCAGATCCATTCAGGGGGCAAGGAGGGAAATGCTGGGTCGCCAGCAGAAGAGGCTTAATGTGCTCAGGTCTCGGCTTAGCAGAGGAAGACCGGCCAGCGGGTGGCAGGAGCTGAGTTCCGGGCTCATAAGGGGTCTTGTGCGGCCACCTGCCAGAGGTGTGTGTGGGCCACGCTGCTGTGGTTGTTTATCCCCTGCCCAACCTGTCTGTAGGTCCTATCTTTTGCATGCAGGGAATGGCAGGCGCCCTCGTCTGAAATGTGTATGTGACCCTGTAGCTAGCGCAGCTAAAAACCCAAATATGTTATTTGACAAGTGTACTTAATTCTTAAACTTGAGGCAAACGGGTGGAAGAGTTTTGGATTGGGTTCTGTGGTGTCAGAGACATAGAAGGAGTACGTTCCGGCCGCGGGTATTCTGTGTAGGAGGAGTACTTTCTATAGAATCTTCTGTGAACAACGCTCTCTCACTGAAAATATACGATGACAGCTTGTTGCCAGTGTGTCTCGGTGGTGGATATTTGGGCTCCTACCAGGCCCTAACCTTTGGCCCGTATTGTACCTTTTCATTCTGTGGATTTTGTGAAGCACCAAAAAAATTGGATTTTGAGGCGTGGCCAGCCCTTCTTATCCTTTTTCAGTATCTGACCAGGAAAGTCTTTGATTTGGAAAAATTAAATCTTTTTAAAGCTCGGAATTTAAAGATGTTTTGATTCCTCACCCCTATATTGTATCATTCTTTACTGAGTTGTAATTTCTATTGCTTCTTACATTTCCTTTTTAGATGAAGCTGAGGTATTTGCTGCCAGTGTATATGGGTGGGGGAGGTGAGGAGGGAGAGAGTGAATGGGTGTGCAGTACGGGTGCACGTGGGAGGTATGAGGGGTGAGGAGGGAGTGTGCGCGGTGCGTGTTCGCGGGGGGGGGGAGGGAGGGAGTGTGTGCACAGTGCGTGTTCATGTGCAGGGCGGGCAGGGAGGGAGGGAGCTTGTGTGCACAGTGGGGGAGCGGGGCTGGAGGGAGCGTATGCGCATGCGCGTGCCATGGGGAGCTAGGCTTGCAGATTACACGTCCGCTGGGAAGGCCCCTCGCTGTTGGCATTTTACAGCCGTGTAAATTCAAGCCCGTGCTGCCCTTTTTTTCCTCGTGGCCTCACTGCCTGCTCGCAGGCCCTGCGTCTCCAAGCCGTGTGTAAGTGCGCTGCCCTCCTACCCGGCCCGCAGCCTGGCTGCAGTCGTGTAACGGTTTTTTTCCAGAGCTGATCTCCATGAAGCCGATCACACGCTCCTGTGCTCCAGTGTTCTCGGCCGCAGCTGCGAGGCGTTCCCAGGACGCCGCCCCTCGCGGGCTGGGCAGGGTCAAGCAGGTGCGGGCCCTCGCCCCCCCGAGGCCGTGTGCTTCTGTGGTGCGGGGGGCCTTGGCTTGCACCCCTGCCTGGGTCCCTCCCACACCGCGGGCACAGCGCTGGTCTGGCGGCTTCTGTTGGCAGCGCCTCCTTCTGGTCACCGGTTTGCTGTGTCACGGACACCCTCCCCCCTCTCCCCCCAGGCTGGACGACCTATTCCTTTTACATCAGAGGCGGAGACACGGTTGTGTGCTGTGGTCCTTATGCCAAGGTGTGCAGGGGCGCAGCAGGTGAGTTTCTGAGCGCCCGGCTGCCAGAAACTGCTGGGACCGCATGCGATGACGGTCTGGCAGCTGCTGTCCCACATGAGGGCGCCGACGTGGCATTTCAGGTGACCCCGACTCCTCTCACGCGCCCATTTTTGTTCCCGTTTTTTCACAGAGAACATTTGTTAATGCTTTTCCCCTACTGTGCTTATTTCAGCAGATTAAGGTAAAGACGTATTTGAGTTCCTTTGGAAGCATCCAGGCCCTTTCTCTCAAGGGAGCAAGAGGGGTAGTGGGACAGAGCAATGGGGCCCTTGCTGCCCGTTTTCTCCCCGGAGGAGACCCCTTGGGCTTCCCCATCTAGTCAGAGTGTGCCGGCCAGGAAGCGAGCGTGTGCCCACGAGTCCACGGGGCGGGAGCGCGGAGGTGGAGGGGCGGCGTCTGGAGGGAGCCGGTCCTGTCAGGGTTGAGGTGCTGGAAACAAGAAGGCAGAGAGCATATTAAATGGAGAACGTTATAATCTCCAGCCGCCTTTTAAAATGATGCCCTTGGGATGCCCCGTTCAAACCAGCTTTTCAGAGAGCCAGCTCTAGAACAAGCCTGTAGGTACAATAAAGTGAGTTTCTAAAAAGCAGCCCTTAGAAGTCCCTCCCGGCCTTCCCTGGTACCCCCTGCAGTACCTGCAGTAATGGGGGATAATGAGGGGTAATGACGTTAGGTGGCTTTTAAATGGAGCACCCGCTTCCATTTACACAACTTCCCAGCTGCGGCCAGATTTGCTCATCGCGTAGCCTCTCAGGGAAGGAAATGCCAGGGCACGTTGGCTGTGTCACCGGCTAGGCTCTTCAGAAGGAACGGGGTTTGAGAGGTCACGGGGACAGACCACACAGGGCTCTGTCGTTGCTGGCCATGCATTCCAAGGGGACCCGCCTTCTCCCTTCCATCACCACGACAAGCAGGAATGTGCCATCTTTAACTTGCTGGGTTTGAACCTAAACGTAGCTGCCCTGTTGTGCTTCCAGGGTGGGGACCTTCCACTTACTCTGTTAACACGTTCGATTGCAGGGGGGCCAGTGCATGGTTGCTGGGCTCTTCTCTAAATAAAAAGTGCAAATAAAGCCTCGTGGTCTGGTTTGCAGTACGCTCCAGCGACAGACTCCTTGGAATACCTCCAGGTCAGGATTTCCTAATGG